GGGTTCCATCCTCAACACCACATAAAAATACATAAATAAAATAAAAGTATTGTGTCTGTCTACAACTAAAAAAAAATGTTTTAAAAAATGAAGAAGAAGAAGAAGAAGGGCTGGGGATGTGGCTCAAGCAGTAGCGCACTCACCTGGCATGCGTGCGGCCCGGTTCGAKCCTCAGCACCACATACAAAACAAAGATGTTGTATCCACCCGCCGATAACTAAAAAATAAATATTAAAATTCTCTCTCTCTCCTCTCTCACTCTCTCTTAAAAAAAAAAAAGAAGAAGAAGAAGAGGAGGAGGAGGAGGAGAAATTGTTTAAAGGAATCGGAGGAGGAGGAGGAGGAATTGTTTAAAGGAATCTGCCCCAAGGAGGTGTGTTTGAGTGAAGAAGGAAGAAACTGATGACACCCAGCAAGCCTCTGAGAGAAGAAAGCCCCAATGAGCACAAAGGACCAGAGTCAGGAGAGGAGAAGCCAAAGTGCCAGTGTGGCTGGAGCAGTGCAGGTGCGTGTCCCCAGGTCAGCCTTATGAATGGGCCAGCAGTAGGCTGGAGGCCAGGCAATGATTGGGTAGGGCCTGGAAAGCCTCCTAACGGCTTTCACATTCCCCATTCTGCACTCATATAAACTTACCTTGAAACTGAGTGGCCCAAATGGTTGCAAACATCCAGCCGGTATGACAGACATTACCCCAGATGGGAGTCACTCAAGAATGCCTAGCAGCCAGGCATGGCAGCACATGCATGTAATCCCAGTGGCTGGGGAGGTTGAGGCAGGAGGATCACAAGTTCGAAGCCAGCCTCAGCAATTTACTGAGGCTCTAAGCAACTCAGCAAGAACCTGTCTCTAAATAAAATATTTTTTAAGAGCGGGGAGCTGAGGGCCTTGGGTTCCATCTCCAGTACAAAAAAGAAAAAAAAGATTGCATTGCAAAAAGGGCATGTGAGATGAGGGAAGTTCTTGGGGCCGCCTGTAAAGCATATGATGGGCCACATTTGGGTTACTCTGGATAAAAAGAAGTCATTGGAGGACTCTTGAGCAGGGGAATACTGTTGTCCAATTTGTTAAGAAAGGCTGTTGTTTTGAGAATGGATTGCTTGGAGGCAGGGCTGAAGCAGGGAGACTAGTTGGACAGGGACTGGCCATGGCCACATTCCAGCAAGGGTGATGATGGCTTGGGCCAGAGACAGGGAGGAGGTGGAAAGCCTCCCGGCCCTGACTGTGTTCCTGAGACAGAGCCCTGCATGCAGGTTCATGCTGTGGCCTGAAAAGCCATCCTGCTCCAAGGGCTCCAGAGGTGCCATTTACCCCTTTCCACTACTCCGTCTTCTTGGAGACGAAAAGTCCTCTCATTCTCACACTGCCTCTCCTGAGCCTAACCTGCGTCACTGCTCTTTCTCCTTCCCACTCACCTGATATCCAAGTCATCGGTGAGTCCAGTGCACAGAATCTACTTTCTTCCTTTCTTTTTGTGTGTGTGTGGTACTGGGATTCTCTACCACTGAGCCACATCCCCAGCCCTTTTTATTTTTTGAAACAGGTCAAAGTTGTCCATGTTGGCCTCAAACTTGTCACTAGGATTACAGTTCTGCACCACTGTGCCCAGTTGTTGGCCTCTGTCATCTCTTGCTGTCTTCCTCTCCCAACCCCTGGTAGGGTCATTTTGCATGGGGCACACACTCCTACTTATCTCCCTAAAGGCTTTCCATCACCCTGGGAGTAAAAACCAACAGCTTTCGTGGCCCCTAAGCACACAGAGTTGCTAATTTGGCACAACAACCCTTGCTTTTGGAAAATGAAGTCTGTTCTACAAAGCTGTTATTAAAAAACCAAACAAAACTAAGTGTGGATTATACATGTCTGTAATCCCAGCCACTCAGGAAGCTGAGGTAGGAAGATTGCAAGTTTAAGGCCAGCCTGGACAATTTATATATATCTTTTAGTTGTAGATGAACAAACTTGTTTATTTATATATTTAAAAATAAATAAACAAAATAAACCTATTTTATTTATTTATTTTTATGTAGTGCTGAGGATCAAACCAAGGGCTCTACACGTGCTAGGCAAGCACTCTACCGCTGAGCTATAACCTCAGTCCCCTGCCTTGACAATTTAAAATTATTTTTTTTAAAGAGAGAGACAGATGGGCTGGGGATGTGGCTCAAGCGGCAGCGCACTCGCCTGGCATGCGTGCGGCCCGGGTTCGATCCTCAGCACCACATACCAACAAAGATGTTGTGTCCGCCGAGAACTAAAAAATAAATAAAAAAAAAAGAAGAAGAAATAAAGAGAGAGACAGAGAGAGAGAATTTTTTTTTAATATTTATTTTTTAGTTATCGGCAGACACAACATCTTTGTATATGGTGCTGAGGATCGAACCCGGGCTGCAAGCATGCCAGGCGAGCGTGCTACCGCTTGGGCCACATCCCCAGCCCATGCCTTGACCATTAAAAAAATAAATAAAAAAGGTTTAGTTGCAGATAGACACAATACCTTTATTTTATTTATTTATTTTTTAAACGTGATGCTGAGGATTGAACCCAGTGCCTCATGCATGTTAGGCAAGAACTCTACCACTGAGCCACAACCCCAGCCCAGCCTGGACAACTTTTTAAAAATATTTTTTTAGTTATAGGTGGACCTTTGTTTTATATATTTATATGTGTGCTGAGAATTGAACCCAGTGCCTCATACATGCTAGGCAAGCACTCTACCACTGAGCCACAAACACTGCCCCAACTTGGACAATTTGACAAGACCCTGTCTCAAAATAAAAAGGAAGGGCTGGCCAGGCATGGTGGTGCACTCCTGTAATCCCAGCAGCTCAGGAGGCTGAGGCAGGAGGATCACAAGTTCAAAACCAGCCTCAGCAAAAGCAATGCACTAAGCAACTCAGTGAGAACCTGTCTCTAAAATAAAAATAAGAGCAGTGTGAAGAAGAAGAGGCGAGAACGACCCCGGACTGACCAAAGCCAGCCGCTGCATCCCCTGGTCCAGCGCCTGCATCCCACCTCCATCGCCACCATGCCCAAGAGAAAGGCTGAAGGGGATGTAAAGGAGATAAAGCCCAGGTGAAGGACAACCACAGAGAAGATCCGCAAGGCTGTCTGCTAACCTGCTCCTCCAAAGCCAGAGCCCAAGCCTAAAAAGGCCCCTGCAAAGAAGGGAGAGAAGTACCCAAAGGGAAAAAGGGAAAAGCTGACCCTGGCAAGGATGGGGATAACCCTGCAGAAGATGGAGATGCCCAAAGAGACCAGGCACAGACAGCTGAGGGGCTGGAGATGCAGGGCAGTGTATGCCTTTCTGATAACTGTGGACTTCTGGTGGCTGTACAGTTTGAAATACTATTTTTTATCAAGTTTTATAAAGATGCAGAATTTTGTTTTACTTTTTTTTTAAGCTATGTTGTTAGCACACAGAACACTTCATTGTTGTTTTTTGGGGGAAGGAGCATATGTCACTAGCAGAATGTCTCCAAAGCTGGATTGCTGTGGGGAAACACACCTTTCCCTTCTAGTTTTGAGAGACTTCCTCTTGGTTCCCAAGAGGAAGGGATTCCCTGATGTTGGCACACACAGCCACCTCGGCACAAATGCCTTGTGGTATGGAAAAACTCAGACTCATCTGTATGTCCTCCTCCCCCTCTCTGGCATCGGCATGGACTTAACTCCCCTAAACTCAGACCTGTTGGGACCTGATTCCCAGCAATGGGTTTCACCAGTGTGAGGGGCAATCTGGACTTTCCAGTGACATCATTGAGAATAGTGTCCCTCAGAAGAGCAGCAGCACCTTTTCTAGATTGTGGATCTTCAGATTAATAATTTTGGCCATTCTCCTTTCATTTCCTGAAAGTCAGGTTCGGCTTGTGAAAAGTTGTTAAACATGCTAAATGTGAAAGGTCAACCCTCACTCTAAACTTCTCCTATTCAGAGCATCAAATGAAGACTTCATTGGATTTTATAGTGGCTTTCTGATTTTGGTAGTCTGTCTGCCTATGACCTGCCTGAAATACCATGATTGTTTATGAAATGTATCTTTAATAAAGATGGATACAGTTTGGCTTGGAAAAAAATAAAATAAACTACAAAATAGGCCTAGGGATGTGGTTCACTGGTTGAGTGCCCCTGGGTTCAATCCCCAGTACCTAAATAAATAAATAAAAACTACTTTTTGTTATTTTGAGACAGGGGATCACTCTCTTTCCCAGGCTGGCCTGAAACACCCAAACTCAAGCAGGTCTCCTGCCTCAGCCTCCCAAGTGCTGGCACTACAGGATGTTATACCATGTCCAGCTGTACTTAACAACTGTCCCTATCTGTGTTATACCCATGGGAGTTCAAATTCACAGAAATGACAGAATGAAGACATGGAGAAGCAAATGATGTTGAAAGAAGACTTTGTTGTATTAGATTTTCCAGAGGTGGAAGTGTACCATGCCCTGGGGGCAAGCAAGGCACACAGGGAGCACCAGGCTCTGCTCCAGAGCCAGGGCGAGTGAAGGAAGGACAGGCCCTCGCTGAGTGCCCCCTGGAGGGGCAGAGCCTGGCACCCAGCTTAGAACTGGCTAGTCTGGATAACTCCAGTGGGCCCTGGCACAGATGGGCTGAGCCTGCTTGCCTGTACCTGGCCCTGGGCAGTGAGCAGGAAAACTGGCCTGGCCTGTGGGAATTCCTGAGGAGGTGGTACAGAGCAGGGGTGAAAGGGGTGATGGGAACAATTCTGCCATGAGTTTGGTCAATCAGGAAAATACAAAATCTAAGAAAATAGAATACCCCCATGCACGGGAACAGGTGAGGGGATGCCTCCATGGTGGACAGACAAGGGGAGACCATCAGGTTTGGTCAGACCTGTTGCTGTGACTCAGTCTTCACCCAAGAGTGGGAAGAAAGCTGAAACTGAGAGATGGGAACATTGAGGTCTGGCCAGAGGCCAGTGACCAAGTCTTACGTGGCTCTCTCCCCCCACCCCCAAGAACCTCTCATCTGATCCCTCTCTCCACCTAGGCAAGTGATCTCAGTCCAGAAGAGAAGAGCTGGGCACCTCTGGGCTGAGGAGCTTGCTGTGCCGCTGTGTGTGGAAGCTCAGTCTCACAGAGAGTTGCTTGGACCTGCAGGGCTATATGCCCTGAACGCATCTGCTGCTCCCCTTGAAAGGCAGACAGCACCTGGGGAAGCCCCCCATTAGACATCTGGGCCACTTCACCCCACTGTGTCCTCAGAGTGGGACTAGCCCCTCGGCTCAGCAAGAGTTCCATAGTAGGACTGTGGCCATATTCTGCAGCAAGGTGCAGGGGGGTCTTGTGGAGCCAGCCAGCAGCATTGACCTGTGCACCCCTGTCCAGGAGATGGCTGGCAACCTCCATGTGGCCTCCCAGAGCTGCATAGTGCAGGGGTGTGAGGCCCAGTGAGTCCTGAGCATCTACCTCAGTTCCCCAGGCCACCAACAGCTGGACAGCAGACAGATGCCCACCAGCAGCAGCCCTGTGAAGTGCAATGCGGCCATGCCTGTCCCTGATGCTTGGGTCTGCCCCATGGCCCAGTAGCAGCTCAATGTCCTAGAAAGGAGGAGAGGGGAAGGCATGAGTAGGCCTTGACACAAGTGGGTGAGAGGCTGGGACCTGGAGACATTTGCCTGGCCCTAACCTGTTCTGACCTTCTGTTTGGTCAATAAGCCAGAACCTAAGGCAGCCTGCAGCCCTTCTGCTTGGAGACTTCCACTTTCCCCAAATGGCTGAGATCATATCCAGACTCTGCAGTGCCTCCTGTCCTCCTCTGGTGCCTAGGAGCTAGCTGGTCTCAACTGCAGACCAGGTACTAGATAAATGTTTGTTGCTGTCGGCCACCAGAAAGAAGTAGCAATGCAAGCCAGGGTCTCCAGGGCCTCCACGAGATGGCAAGATTATAGGAGGAGAGGCACAGCCAGGACGGCTCTCAGTGATTACACCCTGGTGCCTCTCTCCTGCGCTCTCTCCTCCTCCACCTGCCCAGCCTCCGTGTCCGCCTGGCCCCACCCCGCGGTGAGGGGAGTGCGGCCTGGAGCTTCACCCCCCTCACCACCCCCCCCCAGGCACCAGGCTATTGCCTGGGAAAGCAGGACTCACCTGTTGGCGGCCCAAGCCGGCCGCCAAGCCGAGCGCGGTGACCCCGGAGGAGCCGTCGGGGGCGTCCACCTGCGCCCCGCATGCCATGAGGAGGCGCAGCGCCGCTTGGCGCCCGGCCACAGCCGCCACCAACAGGGCACCGTCCAGGTCGGCGCCCCCGCCTGCCGCCAGCAGCTCGAGTACCGGCAGCCTCCCGCCGGCGGCCGCCCAGTGCACTGCGGTCCAGCCAAAAGCGTCAGTTGCCTCGGGGCCCAAACCCGGAGCKGCCAGTAGGCGCGCGGTCAGCAACGTGTGGCCCAGTGCCGCGGCCCAGTGCAGCGGCGTGAGGCCCTCCCCGGAGCGTGCAGCCACCGGGGCCCCTCGCCGCAGCAGCAGCTCGGCCACCCGCGAGTGCCCTTGCCAGGCGGCATCATGCAGCGGCGTGTGCCCCGCGCAGTCCGCTGCGTCCACTGGGGCCCCGCGCTGCAGCAAGAGGCGCACCAGGGGCGCGTGGCCACGCAGCACAGCCAGGTGGAGAGGGGTCCTTCCAAAGCGGTCCCTGCAATGAAGTAAAGGTGTCCAGGGCGCCGGCAGTCTGCTGACCAGACCCTATCCTGCCCCTCCCCAAGAAGGAATCCCCGTCAGTCCCAGAGCTTACTTCTCTTCCACGCTGGCCCCTTGCCTCAGGAGCTTCATCACCAAGGCGGCAGGACCATGCCACACAGCCTGGAGCAGGTTCCCCTGGCTCTGGGGGGCACTGGGCCCCTTTGTCGTGGCTTCTCGGGCCTCCGAGCTTAGTTCTATCCACCGCAATTCCTGCTCTGCAGCCTCCGCCCCGTCCTGCTCCATAGGCTCAGGCCTGCTGGAATCCACCTGGGGAGAGTATTCACCTTGGAGGCTCTGCCTTGTGGGCCCAGGTGTCCCATGCCAAGGTGGAGGCACCCACGCACACACCTTCGCCATGGAAACCCAGCCTTCTGACTTTGAGTTACCCCCAGGGAGAGTTTCACCAGGGGCTCTGTCCTCTGGCTGGGGGGTCACCTCCATGCTGCTTCTAGCCCAGTATCAGCCTAGTGACTGTCCTCACAAGACTCCTTCTGCAGGCTGTTGTGGGAGTTTCACCTGAGAGGCCAGGGGAGAAGAGGAAGCTCCTACTTCTTCCTGGGCCAGGCTGGAGCCACTGGCACGTTTACCCAGTAATCTAAGGAGAAACCTGCTGGCCTGGCTGCAGCCCCTGCCCAGCACCCTTACCCCCTGCAGACTGCCTGCCAGGAACCAAGACCAGGGCAGTCTGGGAAGCGCAAACAGGAACATGCTCCTGGGTGACGTTCCCCCCCCCCACCTGCACAAGGAGCATGGCCTCTGATGTGCCTGGACTTGCCCCYAGTCACCTTTGCTCTGACCCTACCCCTGCTCCTGTTCCTACTGGCTAAAAGGACCTGAGGATGGAGCCACCTCTCCTGAGTTGGGTCAGAGCTGGGGAAGAGTTCAAGGTGCGGTTCTTGTTCACCACTGACACCTGGACAGAGAGTGGCCTGGGGTGATAGGGAGGCAAACCCCTGGGGAGCAGGTTGAGTGGGGTCAATGAAAGTCATGGAAGGCAGACACCTGGGCAAGAGAGGATGAAAGTGGGTGGGGAGTATTTCTGGCACAGGAGCTGCTAAACACCTTGTCTTGGGTGGAAAGTGATCCTGCCAGAGCACAATCTTCAGGGGGGTATCCTGACTCTGGGTGCTGGGGTCGGGGGGCAGGCTGGTCACTTGCCCAGAGCTAGGCAGGGGAAGCTGGCCCTGTGTCCAGGAAGACTAACTCTGGTGGCAGCTTCTGCATTTCTCCCCCACAGAGACTTGTGCTGGCCAACAGGAGACAGCCCAACTCTGGAGCTGCCCATTACACCCACCCCCATTACCCCCAAGCTGCCAAGGATGAGGTGTTTGGAGGGTTGTACCCTGGCCCCTCCCTAGCGGGCAGCCCTTCCAGGTGCCCCAAGGCAAAAAGTAAGGGGCCCCTTCCCACCCCTAACCTACCTGGATCCTCCCCTGGGGACCTCATCAGTCCACTCAGCTGTCCCCTCCACCCCCATAACACCTGGAGCCTGACCCTGGAGCTGAAGCAGTCTCTGTCTTCAACCCTGTCCTATTTTCTTTTTGGCACTTATCACAACACAAAGGTCTAAGTTCTATTTATTTCATTTTATTTTATGGTACCAGGGGATTGAATCCAGGGGCAGTTAACCACTGAGCCCCATCCACAGCCCTTATTATATTTTATTTTGAGACAGGATCTCAGTAAGTTGCTTAGGGCCTTGCAAAATTGCTGAGGCCAGCTTTGAACTTGTGATCCTCCTGCCTCACCCTCCCAAGCAGTGGGGATTACAGGTGTGTGCCACCATGCCTGGATATTTATTTCATTTAATGACTTGCCTTCCTCTTCTAGGATGGACAATCCATGAGGGCATACCCCAGCAGGCTGGCCAGCAAAGAAGCAGTGAGCTCTGGACTTATGTGAACACCCAAAGCAAGAGAAGCTTTGGTCTCAGCATCAGCCCCATGGCCTTTGTCCCCCAGGAGGACCCAAAATTGAGAGGGATAAGGGCACTTGTGCTAAGGAGTCACCTGCATGGTGCAGTTGTCCCTGGGGATCAATGGAAAGACCCACACCTCATCATAGTAAGGGAGGATGTAGAACTGCCTGTGCCAGCCTCCCAGAAGGAGGCAGGTGAGGCAGTGGGCCTCATGGGGCTCCCTGGACAGCCTGCCTTCCCCAGCTCTGCCCAGGCCTAGGTGGATTGGGTTTGCCTTGCCTCTGGGTCCAGGCAAGGCTGCCAGGATGCCAGCTCAGGCTCACCTCTGGGAGGCAGGCCTTTGAAGCCCAGAGCCAAGAGCAGTTCTTGGCACCAAACTGTGGTTTGAATGTGTCCTTCAAAAGTGCATGTGTTGGACACTTAATTCCCAGTTATATGTTGATGGCATTTGCAGGTGGGGCCTTTGGGAGCTAATTAGGATCAGTTGAGGTCATGAGGGAAGGGCCTCCATGATCGCATTAATGGCTTTGTGAGAGAGTGGGCTGGGGAAGTGGATCAGTGGTAAAGCATTTTCCTGGCATGTGTGAGGCCCTGGATTTGTATTCCCAGCACTGGAGAAGAAGGAGGAGGAGGAGAGGAGGAAGAAGGGGAAGAAGGGAAAGAAGAG